AAAACATTCCTTAACAACGCTAATTAACTACCGTCTGGACTCTCAATAGATCTGGAGAGTATGTTTAAGATAATATACTTTATGAACGGACTAAGATATTGTACAACCCTAAGTAGCCAGTGACACCTCTGCAGTGGGCAGGAAATCAGGACTGAACTGAAAGATGAAAAAAGCGTTGAGAGAAGATGCAATCATGGACCTCTTTAATTTTCCAAATACAGTAACAACACTACTGTACAACTGTGCATGCTAAAAATGTTACCTGCATATTAGGATTCTAATAGTGTAATTAGTTCTACAAATTAAAGCGTCATCGAGATAGCTATTTACTTTCTTAAAGAACAAAATACTGAACAATACACAAACAGGGCTTGTGACCTTAACAGAAATAAAAGAGGAAGAGGAATGTTAGGTTAGAAGACATAATAGCGCATATAACAAAGAATTTTCCTGGGACAAGCCATATGGCTGCACCATGTTAAAGCAGTGCCATTCACACACTTGTCCCATCCCACTCAGGGGCTGTTACTGTTCTAAGAAAGAAAACTGCAAAGCAGAAAGAAGGGAAGGCAAATGGAACAAGATACAAGAACACACCAGGGAAAATTCAAGGAATCATCAGGGACTGACTTCAGCTGTTTATTGTTAATTTAGGAGATAGCAAAAATTATTCCTAGCAGCTACTTTAGCTTGAAAATATGGATATATACATATGCATACACACTCAAGTGAAATTAGTACGTACCAATTAAGTAGAAAATGAATGACTTGCAACTGTAGTCTTAATGCATCAAGTGCATAAGCATGTCATCACTCAGATTTAAATACTTGACTATCGAGAGTAACCTTCTACAGCTTTCTTGCTTCCATAAAGGAAGTAGAATATGTATGTCCAAAAGAAGCCTTTTAAAGTGTGAAGACACACATTGGACAATTATATCAATACAGAAAAAGTCTGCAAAGTAATATACATTATTACTGTTATTAACAACAATAATAAAGTAATAAATAAATCTGTATTTTATTATTACATCTACCATAACACAACAGAACTGATGTTATTGTGGACACCAACACAATTAGAAAAAGTTATTTTTAACAGCTATTTCCAGCAACAAAAAGTGCCTGGCGAAGAGTACAGTCCCATACTGTCACAAACAAATGGCAAGTGATATCACATAAGAACATTTCTCTCTAGCTTACTAAAGCTGACAGAAAAAATCCCTGTTGCCCAAAATGGGTGCTGATCACACTAGGTTAGGTGCAAGTGATGCATCACAGCTGCTACCAATCTAGAGAAATCCTTAGTTAGGAAGTCTGAAGATCAAATGGAACCCCAAGCATCACACTGATTTTTGTGTCACTATCTGACATCAGATTTCTTCTTTGGGCAAGTCACTAATTCATTTCTACATCATGGATTCTTATATATCACCTAAAAAAATGTATTATTATCTAATTTTTAGTACATATTGGGAGAATTATGAGCATTTATCCATGCTCCTAAAATAAAAATTATTTAATTGAGAATAATGTAGTTATAAATTTACTTAATTTTCCTTTTATTCAAAGCACTAAAGGAATACTAAGACACATTATAAAAGCCACAACAATGGTTTAATGGTTTTATGGCTTTAATTTCCATCTTTTAGTTATTTTAAAAGGTGCTATCCTAGAAATGTATTGGTAGGTCACACAATGAGAACACCACTTTGTATGTTAAATTAGAATAATATTCCTTAAACATTTACGTTGCCTACCACAATAACAAGAGACACACAGACCACACTTGCTTTATTAACAAAAGAATTTCAATATATACTGAAGCAACAGTACTGAATTTGTAAATACATATATCACTCATTTTTGATCCATATACTCTAAATCCTTTGCAAGCATTTTAAGAGCAAATTCAAAGTGCTTTTCCTAATGGATTCCACTCTGAGGTGCTAATGTCAAGAAGTCAGATAACTGAGTATCTATATCCTTTATGAATTCAGCGTTCTGAACTTCGAAGGCTCAAGTTTTACTGAGATCTAAAGTAGTGAAATACAAAACAGAAAAGAAATAGGATGGATTCAGGTCAAAATTACTTCCAGGTATGCTGAGCAGCTCTTTAATCAATACAGTCTATGGATTCTAAGGAGCTAGCCAACATGCCCTAAAGAAGATGCAGACATTTCATTAGCTGAATCACTTTCTACTGTAATAGGAGCCTAAAGATGCAATTCACACAAAGATCTTAAGTTTAGATGTCTTTAGAGCTGGATTCCAACCCTAAAGTCCATTCATTCATCAGGAAACCTAAATTTAAACAGAAAAGAAATGCTAAGCATTTCTTAATCTTGGCATATTACTCGTGCCTATAGAAAGATACCTCCATCTACTCAGATTCCAGAACCTCATGGCTGTCCCCCCTGCCCTGAAGATATACTTGCATGCTCTTTCAGAACCAATTCTTTCCTAATGAAGCAAAACTAATCAAAGAAAGAAAAGGTGATGGAGAGGAGCAAATGCTCAATTTAAATATAAAGCATGCAGTGACCACTTTGGATTTTTTTTTTTTGTTTACTCGACCACAAGACAATGGCTTAGCAAACCACCAGACAAATGACACAGCTAGGTCATGACAGACCTTAAGGTGTTGCCACACACAGCTTTTGACCTGCACTTTCATCAGAAATGAGCATAAGAGTCTGCATATCCAGGCTCCACGACGCTGTTGTTGCCAGTAGGCTTTGGCATCATGGCGGGGTGTGAACTGCTGTAGCTGAGGAGCACAGACATTGTCTCCTCTCATACGCCATCTTTCTGAGGGAAGTTGTTCTTTCATGTATGCACCAGCCAGGGCCTAAAGACCTCTGAAATATCCCACCCATTGGTAGTGAATAAAATTTATACATCATACTATACTGTTGCGCACCAAGAGCACCTAGCTTTGGTTTAACTCTGTGATAACCTGGTTATGCCACTTCCAGGTCTAGTTCAGGAAAACCATCTAAATCTCCAGCTTGGACACCTCTGCATTCCAGAGTTCATTCTGTGATACAGATATACCCTTCATTTAATCTGTTCTTGTGAAAACTCTCTTGGTTTCAGCTTTTTCAACATGTTGAGAGGTTTCTATTTGTTTCTTGTGAGGGTTTTATTGCATGGTTTTGTTTTGGTTTTTTTGCGGGGGGTGGTGGTGATTGTTTTGCAGATGGTTGTAAAACACCTTCACAAAGTTCATCTTGTCATTCCCCCCATGCCCTAGAAGGCAGTTTGGATTCATGGCAACACGCTTCTTCAAGGTTTGCCAGTAACAGGAGGAGGAAGTTCACACATAATAAAGCAGCTGCAAACAGACACTGGAGTCAGCAATCAATAACTAAAGGTCAGATCACAGCAAGCATGTGACAAACAGCTCTAGAATTTGTGCCTTCATGTGAACATGAAATCCAATCCATTTGCTTTCATACCACCACTACAGCCATAACCTTGTTTTCAGCAATCCATAACACCCAAATTGTTTTCTGTCAAGGTCTGAAGCTCTCTCCTAAATCTATCACCTGCTGTGCCATTCACTGGAGTGAACACAAAAGATGTGTTCTGATGCACGTTTAATTCTCAGAAATGACAGTAAACTGTGTTTTGGTGACTAATGTCCAAAGTGCAGACCAGAATTAAGTGTCAATATTTAGCAGCTAATACTGTAACAATATTTGCTTGTATATGATTTCTTTACCAATAAAAATCAATTTACTCAGTATAGTCTCCCTTCAAAGCAGTGGTTAGTTATCTTGAACAACTACAAAGCACAGTCATAATTTTGTCAAATTCAGCCCAAATTCCACACGGTTACTCAAATTCCTATTGCCGTATTTAAGACAATAACTAGTACACAGATACAGCTTTGTACACATTTTGCGTAACACATTTTACCCTATTAACAGGCTTAGGGCAGTAGCTTGTATTTCTTTTTCTGTATTTGTGAGCTGTCTTATTTAAAGTGTTTATTGTTTTGAAGACTAGTTTTTCATTTCTCTAGTGGCCAGTCTTAACGCACATGATGTTTGTTGCCTCCAGAAGTTCTTTCTATGGTGAGGAGAGCAGACAAGAATACAGTGGGCAAAAACCAGCAGCAAATTATGAATAGGAGCCTTCTGACCAGAAGGTGATCTCCTATCACCCACTGCACAATCATTTAGTGGTTCAACCTTCCTTCAAACAGAACTTATAAGGCTCTCGCCCTAACTCTGTTCTCCTCCTGTGCTCATATTTATTAAGTGCATTGTGGTTCCGCTACTGTTCATTCTCACTGTCTCTCTATTGGCCAGAAATGTGCTGGGAGTAGAAATAACTACTGAATATTTTAAAATTAAAAGTTTATCAGGGCTCTCACAGAACTTAAGCTCTAGCACAAACAGAAAAAGAATGGTTCCAGGATCACTTCCCAGATGAAAAAAGAGACCAAACAAACCCTAAATGGATGTGAGATTGGGTTTGACTGTTTCACTGAAGAACAGGCACTTCCTCATTGAAATACAGGCTCCTTTTATAAAAAGACTCTTAATTCACTGACTGAGGGCAGCCCTCCAGTCTCATGTACCTAGGAGAATTCACCTCATAAATATTACAGAGCAAGCAAGAGTTTTAAGTTTTGAATGCACACTGATTAGGAGAGAGGCAAATAGAGATCCTGAAAAATGACCTTTAGGTCACAGAACTAATATTCACTCCGTATGCATACATGTATATATGTTCCTACACAAACAAAACCAACAGAAAACTGAAATAGGTAAACAAGACCGAAAAATACACATTATTTAAAACTAAAATGATACTACAAGCTATTAAGTATAGAAACTGAATTTCAAAAGGAAGCAAAAAATTATAGTGAATCAAGACCATCTTCTACTTGTTTCTAAATGTGAAATTTGCTACCTGGATCAAAACATACAGTGCATATAGACAAAACTTATGTAAAATCAGTATTCAAGTGAAAAATCATGTGGTACCTGATGGGACGATTTTCTTTACTATCAAAGAGTGAGAAGATTACTTCCAGTTCCTCTCCCAGATTGGAGCACATTAGACTCTTCATCTGAACAAAAAGATGGTGGCTGCTGGCTGGTACTGGTGTGTCTTTTTTTCGATGACGATGCTCCATCTAAAAATATCAGAAACAACACAGCAGCCAGTTTAAATTAATGGTAAAAATCTCAAAACAAAAAGAGGTAAAAAATGTAATACTGAACTACTTTGTTAATCACAATTTTCAAATTTTTAATTTAAAATTAACTTGTAATAGTTCGGGGGTTTTTATTTCTTTTTGTATCTGAGAAGGAGAACACAAAGAAGTGAGTTTTTCAGTGTTGCACTGCATCATCATTATCTCTAGGAGAAAAACAGTAACCTCTAGAAATTTAACTTTCTTCTACTCAGAAAATTCTAAGCCACTTTAAAGATTTGTGCTGTAACAATACAGTATTTCATAGCCGGTTTAAATACTTAATGATCTTATAATCTAGTGTGCCGACATACGAAATGCTTTTGCAGAAGACTAAATACCAACATTTTAAAATGGGAAAAAAATCATGTCCAGAATCTTTGGCAGACTGCTACATAGAAGCTACTAAATTCTCTTGATTTGACTTCAGAGTTTATACCTTCACCATTTTAATCACCTATTAAGGGTAGGACAATATTAAGGTGTACTATTTCTCCTACATTGTACCAAAAATAGTTTTAAACAGCAATCTTTCTAAGCTACTTAGCCTTCAAACTGAGGTTATCTAGGGATTTTTTTTCCCCTCTATATTTTTGAAAGTGCACTCCAGGTGTTCCATCATTAGTTTTCTGGGTTATTCCTCCTCTGTATGTTTCTCTTATGATTAATGGTTCCTCACGGTATTTCATCTAGTGCTTCAACAGGATTCCACAAGATTACATATGACTTTGAAACTGCCCAAAGGTATACTGATTCTAGCATGAAGAAATTACTATTAGGCTTGACATTACAAGTTATCAACATAAGTAGTTAAAAATTATAAAAAATATATTACAATTTCAGCTCCACAGCAAATTGTGGCAATTTTATTTTTTCTTTATTCTATATTTAAATACATAAGTTAACATGAATAAAATTTAGGTTAAATAAAAGCTTACTCTTAAGCAAGTAAGGCTCAGAACTGTATATCTATAACAGCTGCAGCACTTAAATATAAGCCAAAGCCCACATAAATGAACTGGCAAGTTTTCTTAGACCTCACTGGAGATTAACTTGGAATAAGAAATATCAGTGCTGTTTTTAGTAAATCAAGATGGGCTTTCAATACCAAAAGGAGAGCTTTTCTATGCAGTTGAACTGCTATTTACATTAGTATATTAGAAAAGACCCATAGCCCAGTATGATTAATTATGACAATACTTGTACTATGAGTATATCTAATGGGACTCATGAGCCAGTTAAAGCTCTATATGAAAAAGGGTCTCATAAGCTTTTATTGATTATTAAATTCATGTTGACAGTCACAATTTTAATGATATACCAGTAAACAATACTTTTTACAAATCACATATAAAATGAGCATGTGTGCAAAAACAAATTTGGTATCAAATCAAAGCATCTCATACAGATGTAGAGATGACATAACTGGTAAAAAGAAAACTTCTTTCCTTGTAGTAAAACTCATGTTATCAAATACCAGTTTCTTTGATCAAAAAACGTACTTTTGGTTAAGTAGGACAAAGCTGCCATCAAAATGTCACTATGCAATTTGATAGCAATTTGTAATACTGAGTATTACATTCACATACCAGCCTGTACAGCTCTGTAATGCTGATCTCTTCAGGATCCACCATAGCATATTCTTTTCTTGGAACTAAGTCAAGTCCTAGTTGTCTGTATGACAAATGGAATAACAGTAAGTAGTTTCTACATACAAAGGAAATAAATTAACGCATTGCTTCTATTTACATTTAACAGAAACATTCCAACAAAGATGTAGATGTTAATTGGTACTCTACAGCTGGTTTTGGTTTTGTCTTAATGTATGTTGGGTGTATTCACCATTCACGGATGATTGCTCCCCCTTCTTCACTTTGCAACATTAATGGTTTTCCACAATTTTTAAATCTGTTTCACATTGTGGACAATGTACAATAGATATTGTCCTTTTTACTACTACGGACATTGTACAATGTGACTTCCACTAGTGTTGTCAATTTGAATGACAACCGGGGAAAAGAAGATAAAAAGAAAAACCATCAAATGCCAAACCAGCTTATTTTTAATTTGGACTGGATGGCACCATAGCTGCTTCACTGTATCCCCTGAACAAAATATGAAATGAACTTGAATCAACAGGAATAAAACTTGTTTTCAGCACAGCAGCAAGCAATAAAGGTTAAGAACACATATGGGGAAGTCACACTGAATTTAGAAGAACCTGAAAAATTAGAAAATTTTTTTAAAATATGTTTTCTAGGAGTAGGAACTGACCACTTCAAAACCCATCACAATTCCGTTTGGTTAGCACAAAATTCTAAGTAGACAGTTAATCATACACAGTTAAGTACAGTTGTTCTTCTATGGTAGGTATTCAGGCTTTCAGATAGCAGTAGTTGCAGAAACCCCAGAAATTCAGTTAATTCTACTATTGAATATTGCTGCATTTAGTCAGGATTTAACTGAATAAATATGGGCTAAAGAAGAGACTTTGGAAACAGCACACAAACACCAAGAGGTATTTTAACCTTTTTCTTGCCCTTTTTCTTTTTTTTTTTAAGTATGATAATACAATTTGCATCAGCTCTTATTAGTTATTCGATAAAAGAAAGATGCAGAGCATAGTAGGGAAACATATGTTGAAGATGGTCAAGAAGGAACTGAATTGTGCGACACAAGTCAAAAAGGAAGCAATGTCAGCCCATACAGTTCCAGTTAAGACAACAGAGCTATGCTAACTGCATGACATAGGAATCCGGCTGAGTTTTAAAAGATGTGAAAACACAGTGCAGATATTCCAATGCAATTCTCTTGTAGACAGTAACACTACTATGTAAAATAAACTGAGAGAAAAAAGCAAAATAAAAGACATTTTTCACTTGAAGCATAGCGGACAGAAAAATAATGAAGGAGAAAAGTCCTTGGGGAAAAAAAAAAAAAAAAAGGTAACACCTGTAAGAAATTTGTTCCTTACTCCAACATTCTACAATGAGCCTAAAGTTATGGCATTGTAATTAAATTACACTATTTTCATTTATTATTATATTTACTCACTCATTGCCCCAATCCAGACGAGCAGTGATGTGTCGCTTGACATCCTTCATTCGATCATGGGTGAGATGGCCGACGAGGACCTGCCTTCGCAGGTCTAGGATTTCATTCATTATGTGCCACAGTCGGTGAAAGAGATCCCCCTCATTCCTCTGTGAGATAAAAATGTAATTGCCTCTACATCAACTGTATAAGATGAGAACCCTAATAAATACAGATATGGTGAGGAAATCAATGAAACTTATTCCTTATTCCCCTACTTAGTCACGATCTTTTTTTCTCCCCATCATACTGTGACCATTTTACCTGCATGCATGTGTATATGTGCGCACATAAAAATATTTCAGAGCTTACCACAGAATCTGTCTTTGCACCCCGCTCCAGAATTTCACTCCAACGTCTTATGCCTCATGTTAACACAGTCTAATTTATGTGATAGATACGACAAAAATTTAACAAAATGTTGCTTCATGCCATAGCACTGCTTTATTCCAAGAACATTTCTTTCTGTGCTGCTGTCCCATCCAAACTGAATATGTGATCATGTAGTTCAAGACTATTTGAACTCATACACATAAGAGATCTAAAGGCAACAGCTCCTGGAATTCAAACTCTGAACCACAGACTGTTAACGTTCTTTTATGGATATAACTGTACACACTACTGCCTAACCACAAATAAATAGTATCACATAGACAGAACCTTGTCCAGACAGTTCTTCTTCATCTAACTGTGAAGTAGGAGAAATTATGTGAATATGATTGCTTTTTAAACCACGTCCTCCTACTCTAATTATATATCAGTTAAGGATATAAACAATTTCCCATAACAGTTTCCTCCCAAACAGAAGTCCTTTTAACTCTTCCTTCACAAATTCTAAGTGGTTTTACTTGATATAGGTTTTCTGAGAAACTTTAGCTTGAGGAAATTATTGCAACTTCCATTTAAATGATGCATCACACAAAGTGGAAAAACATTCCTATTCAGATTTCTTCTGCTAATTCTTGCCAAAAACCCTAAGCCCATTTCCCTTTTCCTTCTTCCTATGAACAAATGGCATAAAAACAAAGTTCAGCTACTTCTGCTGCGTAACTGCTATGAAAAGCTAAAATTCACTTACAAGCATCATTACTCTCCATCTATAACTTTTATATTCAAAGGCTCTGACAAACTGCAGTTTGATAAATCTACTCTTTCTATTTCACATTCATTCACTTCATAAGCTCACTAAAATGGGCATTAATTTATTGTTTGTCTTGGCTTTCTGTCTGAAAAAAAAAAGAAAGCCAGTGTATTTTGAACAGGCAGGAACAACAGCATTGAAGAAAAAAGTTGACAAAAAGATACAACTTCAGTAAGAACAATAGGAATATATGAACTTTATAAGCAAAAAAAAACAAAAAAAAAGGTCATACAAATAGCTTTTGAATTAGGAGCAAGGGACAAAAAAGACTTTATAGGAACATTATAGAGAAATAGGCTGACAGTATGTTTTCACAGTTTTCCATCAGACACTAGTGTATAAAGATTTCATTTCTACAGTTAAAAAAAAAACAAATTGAATTTGATTCAAACACTAATTCAGGTGCATTTTTGGTTTTGGTAACTGATAATAAGCTCTACTGAAGTAAATTATTCATGTGAATACAAGAGACATGCTAACGTTTAACAACACTGTTAAGCTCAAATTAACATTTTTAGGTATCCTTCTTTTTCTAAAGCTCTAAAAGTTGGCTATGAGTTGCTTGTACCTCAAAGTGCTGAGTGAATCCACAAATAACTGCTTTCTTTACAGATTTATGTCTATACACCAAAGGATCATATTTTCGCTTCTCTTGTTCCAGGAGAAGCTCATGTACTAATGTACTTGCTAACATACATAAAGCAATCACACTTAGATATGCTTCAGATATTCGAGAAAACTACTTCCCATTATAATCTAGAGAAATTTCAAACAAGCTTTGAAGAAACAGTTTCTTGTTTCTCCAGAAACAGTTCATACTGCTTAATTACTACTTCATTGTCACGTTTAAAATGATACTGTATTACTTAGAATCCAACAGAAAGAGAGACTTGATTTTGTAGGTTCTTGTATAAAAACTTTCACTAAGCAAATTAGCAACTGCCCCAAATGCAGGTTTCAGAAAGGTCACCTGGTTTGGAACAGTCTCTCTGAACAGAATCCATACAATCATCTCAAAAAGGCATCAGACTAGCTACTTCTGCACCATCCTGACTTATAGGAGGTCTCCGCTCATAGCTGTTTCTTTTGTAACAGAAGCAGCCCCTGTATCAGCAGAGGGTAGCTAATCTTCTCATAATTATCAACTCAGCAATGAGTTAAGACGAAGGACCAGAGACTATGCAGTGAACAGGTTTTGATTATGTTTGATGTGTGCACATGTTGTCAAGTCCAAACCATGTTTTGGTTTTAATGTAGTAGATTAGAAGGTCAAATGTTAAAAATGGAAGACAATCATGATACAAATCACAATTTCAAACTAAAATATTTTAGTTAAACCTTTAAAGACACAACTCTACAGTCAAGGGAAAGTAAAAAAAAAAAATCAGTTAACAGAGGAAAATAGAAGTACCCATGGAAAAAGGAAATTCTAGCAATTATTATGGCTTAGATTATGATGTGCAAAAAAAAAAAGTTAAAAGACGCAGAACAGTCAATGAAGGCTGCACTTCAGTCAAAATATAGAAAGATATTGAACAGATTTCTTTCTGTGTGTCATAAGCACACTGAAACAGAAGAATTCTACTTATGGTGGTAGACAATTAAGAGAAGAAAAGGTAGGATTTCTTACCGTGAAAAGGTAAGTCACTGATCTGAAACCTCTCCAAAGAATGGGAGGCTGCAGCGCGTTCATAGGAGACATGGCAGTGAAAAGCAGTTTAGGTAGCTTGTACCCAACATCCTATTGATACTGCACAACATTTAGAAAAATAAAGTAGAATAATCCCACATCTGTGTGATTTATATAATGGAATAAGAGCTCCTTAAATGACTGGTGACTCAAAACAATACTATAAATAGGAACCCATGAGATGGCTGAGTTTGGAGGAGTTTTCTCCATGCAAAAATGTTTGCCTACACTAATTAAAAAAAAAACACAAAAAATTTTATTGATATAATCTTTGTTCAGCTGAAGTTTTTAAGCGAGTTAATTACAGAATTGGAGAGGCCACATTTAGAGAGTGAGCACAATAGAGTGCTGGAGTGATAAATGGAAATCATAGAAATAATATAAACCATGGGTGTTCTTTGAGAAAGAAAGAATAGTTGCTTATTACTACTTTGTGTTTGGTGCTCAACAACTGCTACTGGAATACTACATCCAGTTCTTAGTCCAGAAATGCAACAGAAAATACAACATGCATTCAGAAAACAGGAATGGTTAAGGCTAATAAAGATGATTTAAAGTTAAATTTCAGAAGATGAGTCTACTTAGTTAAACAGAAAGATAAGACTGTAAGTATCTATTAAAGAGAAACAATTTCATAGCGCAGTATTCTGTAGGGACTTGAAATAGAATTATGTCCTGGTTTCAGCTGGAAGAGTTCATTTTCTTCTTAGTAGCTAGTATAGTGCTGCGTTTTGGGTTTAGGATGAGAATAATGCTGATAACACACTGATCTTTTAGTTGTTGTCAAGCAGCATCTACACTAAGTCCAGGACTTTTCAGCTTCTCATATTGTCCTGGCCAGCAAGGAGACGGGGGGCAGGACAGACGGACGGATGAGAAGTTGGGAGGGGACACAGACAGGACAGCTGAACCAAACTGGCCAAAGGGATATACCATACTATATGATGTCATGCTCAGTGTATAAACAAGGGGGAAAGCTGGCGGGGGGCTGCTGCCTGGGAACTGGCTGGGTATCAGTTGGCAGGTGGTGAGCAACTACATTGTGCATCACTGGTTTTGTATTTTCTATTATTATTGTTATTGTTGTTGTTGTTATTATTATTATTTTCCCTTCTTTTTCTGTCCTATTAAACTGTCTTTATCTCAAGCCACAAATTTCACTTTTCTGAGTCTCTCCCCCATCCCACTGGGGGTGGTAGGAGTGAGAATGGCTGTGTGGTGTTTAGCTGTCTGCTGGGAAAAACAACAAATTGCTAAGACTGGTATAAATGAAATATGAAAATGTATGCATAAGGATGAGAAGAGATAACCGAGCAAGGACAGGTAGGCACTTATAGCCATAGAACACCTCAAGTGTGATTTCATTCAAACAAGGAGAGAAACAACCTGACCTGAAGATATCAGGGAGAGGGAGAAAAAGAACAGAGCCACAAAATATCCAGATAAGGAAAACAAGAGAGGTGTGAAACATGGGACTTTTACTTAAGACTGAAGTGTAAGGTAAGAAAGAAGTTCAAAATCAGAATCCAATTCTTTAATGTGTGGTAGGTAAATGCAAAATCAGTTCACTATTGCCAATAAAGAACCACCCCCCAGCCTCCCTCAACAATGAGGACTCAACAGCTGGCATCCCTTCATCTCTGTCATACGCAAGAGATCCTGGTGAAATAACACGTACACATCTCAGCACTTGTGAGTGCGTGGATGTGAAATAAAAATCTATGAGAAAATGAGTATAAATCAAATCAACTGTCTGAGAGATTTTCAATAAAATACTATATTTCTGGATTTCAATAAAATACCAGTATTGTTTGTTACACTTATTTCCAACACTTCAGTTTAGCAGGCAAAGGAATCCTTAGATCCAAAGACTACATGATGAAGCTGGATAAGATTCAATCAATAAATTTCTAAAGGTTAGCAGCAGTAGTAGTGAATGATTGCAACAAGTTAAGAGATGTATTTAGTCCATAACTTCAACAGTTAAAACCCAAACAGTACGTTTTTTTTTCTGAAATACATGCTTAAACTAAACTACAGCATCTAAACAACAGTATGTGTTTTCAGTTGGCATTAAATCAAAGCAACACTATTCGGGGTACTTGCCACATAGAGTTGTTTCCACATTGTTCCCCAGTCTCTTAAAGTCGATGTCATTTCTGTAATAACAGAATCTTCTGTTGGAATAACCATTTCAAATTGTCTGTAACATGCAGAAGAACACATGATATTACACAAGCATTACAAATCCCATTACAGTTACTAATATAAAGACTTCCTTCTGCCAACAGTGATATCTATCAACCTACATGGGTGCTCCTTCAGCCTGTGACACTTTTTAATTGTATATTTAATTTAATCCCCATGGAAAAGTCTTGGGTGAAAATAATTTAAGCCCCATGGAAAGACTTGGTCCTAGAGAAGTCAAGGTGAGTTTTTAACTATGCATGTCAAAAAATGCTTTCATAGCAGAGTCATTCCCAGTTTTCAAAGGGATCTTGCTTTAGCGTAGACTCTAAACCAGTGATTGTTACCACTCTTTTTTACATCTCTGTTTATAGAAATAAGACAGAAAATGTCATTCCTTCAATTGAAAGAAGATATTAAAAATCAAAAGAAAACTAGCACAGTGTGGTGAGTTCTTGCCTATTTGATGCTGGCCAAGAAAATCTGGGTTGGCTTGGTCAACGCCAAACTCTCTACCACACCATCACTTGACACACCATCATTACTGCCACTTCATTCTCACACGCAGTACATTTCAAACATTTGCATTCATGTCTAGATTACTTTTCCCATGTTATCATTTCTCTCTTATCAAGTTAACATAACAACGTGACAGCCCCTGGCTGTGGTGTGCTGTAGGGCACACGGCCTGAGTGGGAAATAGACAAATGAAGAAAATAGAGGCAACAAAGACTGCCATGGTGTCTGCTAACAGAAATTATTCCCTCTTTACGCTTTGTTTTATTGTGATAGTTTACAACAATTTTATTTCACTGAACCTTCAGTTTTATCTACAACCACTTTTAAAGGAGAAAGGATCCTAGAGCATGATAAACCACATTTGGCTTGAACTTCATAGTAAACAACCGACTGTTTAATAGTAATGTGGAGACATTTTCACCTGTGGGAACAAGACTTTTTTTTTTTAAATATGATTACAGTCTTCATGATTATTTTTGCCCATCATGAAACATGGACCTTCTACTCAGTCATTCATGCTCCCAAAATAAAGGTCACCTATACCTCATGCTTAGGCCTCCATCTATTATGATGAGAAACATCTTTACCTAAACAGGTTTCAAACTGTTATGTATCAGGTCTATTAATACATCTAAATGTATGATACAATGTGAACGCTCCCAAAGTAAGTAAAACTTTGGAAAAAAAACTGTGTTGAACTAAGATCACTAAAAACCAAAATTTTTTTTAGTGTCAAGTATTACGTCTAAAAAAATAATGTTTCTTTTAGGCAGAATATCTGAGTTTCAAACAAAAATTTTTTTAACTAATTTTAACCCATTGTTCTGTTTTTTATTAACTCTTCTAAAAATTAAAAGAGATCAGTTGTTGTAAAAAACAAATATTGGCTCTTCACCACCTGAAGAAAAGATGTAAAGGAAAAAATCTCCATTTACAGTTTTGGTGAAATCTTTCGCCATTGAGCTGATACATTATTTTACCATTTTTTTTTATAAAATGCCAGCTGTCTGCCATGGTGCAGCTGCTGTCCTCAAAGAAAACAACTAATCTTAACCAGGAGATCAATAGCCAGCTTCTGTACAGAAGTACAGCTGTACAGAATTCGTTCTTCTAGTTGAGGCACTACCTTTTTCAAGCCAAATTTAACATCAGGAAGTGAAAACATGCAATCTTTTTCTCTTTCATCTAGACAATATAGACTGATATTCCCAATTGTACTCTATGTCTTTTCAGAATAGGTCACTCCAATTTCATGACCATGCAGAAGTATCAGGTTGGCTAAGGACAACCATTTCAAGTACTGGGGCAGTAAGATGAAGTTAAGATATTATAACATAACGAATGACCAGTTTATCTTATAAGCAAAAGGTCTTTGGTACAAGTAACTGACCACGTATGTTTAAATATTTGAATCCAGAACATTTCACCTACCCTTTGTTCTTAACACACGCATTTTTCAAGTGAATGTAGTTGGATGGAAATATGCCCTGAAAAATAAAATAGTTCAGGTAAAACCAAAAAAACTCCCCTTACATAAGTTCAGACTACCATTTAGTACCATTTAATATGCAAAGTTGTGTTGAATTAAAAGTCCTCCAAATAATTACCAACAAACATGGACAAAAAAAGAATGCAATATATACTCAGTATAGATCTAAAGGAAACTAAAATGCCATATTCAGTAGAGTTTTAATCCTTCAATACTTCAGAAAATTAGAAGATAAACATGCATAGAACATGCAGAAGATTGCCTGAGAGCTGACTTATCCTAGATGTTTTTATTAATTATTCCCATCTTGACAAGAAATGGACCAACTGTGAGTGGTAACGTCTCACCAACAGCATCTTAAAAATAGTATCTTCAGATAGGGATTTTCAAAATAAACAAAGTTAACAAAGTTCAATAAAAATAAAGCTAAGTTAATAAAGAAAGTCAAAATAAAGTTTGATTTGGTGACTACCATGCCCTGCAGCTCATGTGAAAGCTGTGGTAGGTGCCTACCAAAGAGCCTCAGTGTCCTGACAGGAGTGGTCCTTTTCTAATTATTTAACAGCTCTCCACTGTTCTTTTGAACGGACAGCATTGCTGCAACAGTCACAGTGCTCTTACAGTGCACTAACCTTCATAAATCAGAACAATGAGCAAAATGAAGCACCTCAGCTTCAAGCGTCTGGCTGGGAACGTAATGCGCTACAGCTCGTTACATAATGCAGGGAAGGAAAATACATGTATGTTCTCCTTTATAAGCACAGCTGCTTACAGCTTTCCTTTGTGACCATGGTGCCCCCTTTTCTTCTAAGACAGACATTAGACCTTTGACAAAAATGCATCTGCTATGTAGGGGGAACTGCCCTTGTGAACGCTCCTACTCCTCAGTAATGTAAAGTAGTTCAGGAGAGCACCTCCCAAGGACAGTAAGATGTACAGCCTTGCACTTGTAACGCTGTGCCAAAAAGCAGGATGGCTGCATATGCACACTTACTGCAGAGCAGCTGCCACAGGTAATTTCTTTGAGTGTCAAACCTGTCAGAATAACAAGGGAAGAATCTTGACAGAGCAATACCACTAACAAGCAGAGTTACAAGGTGCTCTTATTATTTTACTTTTGGAGAGACTCCCTGCAAAAATCCAATTCAGAAAACTGTTTGCATTCACACTAGGAAAGCAGAAAATATATATCTCATTTCTTCACACATCAAGGCATGTTTAGAAAACCTATTCATAACTTCTGTCAACACATTTGACAGACCACAAAGCAAGACTGACAGCAAGCATGTGGTGAGAATTGCAACAAAAGACACAGAAGATGCAATAACAAATCCCAACTGCTCGTGTCTTATAAATCAAATTGCAATATACATCAATGAGGTCAAAGCAGTAAACATCAGATCAGACTCTGTGGATAAATTTATTGTTCGCATTGACCCTACATACAAATCAAAAGAAATTTATGTCAGCAGAGACTGCAGCCCTAGGCACAAAATGCCAATGACTTATGATATGAGCCCCTAGAAACTTTTGAAATTAACGTATATGTGCCCTATTTTGCAGCTGAAAAGGCTTGGAAATGAAGAGAGGGAAAAAAAAGAGCAAAGCTTACAATGCAGGTTAAAGGAGTAACAAATGAGTTAAGACCTTTCTTCAATGGCTTTAATGAGACTAAAAATGTTAGTACCGTATTGACAAAAAAAATCTTGAAATAGTTTCCCATATGAAAAAACAAAATCTTTACAGTCACAGAGGCTTGTCAACAGGAGAGATGAAGAAAATAGAAAGACAAATAAGATCGGTAACACTTAAACGTATTCAACATGAACAAATGCTGAAATACTAATTTCATAATATTTCATGTATGAATGCAAAAAAAAAATCAGTGAAGTCTGGTTTAGAGTACTATCAGCTATACTATAATGGAAATCAATGACTACACACAAAAGAAAAAATAAAATGAACCATATATTTTACATAAAAATACATATTTTTTAATTCAATTGATACAATGCATGTGGCTGCTATAAACCGTCTCCACTGGCTGCTCTAAATTAATTCATAACATCAAGAAATATATGCACAGTCTAACCAACTTCTTCAATAGTGTTTACAATTTGTATTCTCAGTAGTCTTTTCCCTTCATCTTAACTTTCTCTGAGTTCACAATCTAAAAATCAGAAATAAAACATAATTCACCAGAGCCTCAGATTTGTAAAGTGTATCATCCTAATACATAGGGGCATTTCAGAAACATAAACCATGTCCAAATCTAATTAAAGGAATATCAATAATATACTTAACACTAAGCTCTAGTTTTCTAAGAATAAATATCACATACTTACATGGAGACTATAAACTTTTAAAAAGTAAATACCAATTTTTGCCAAAGAATGCAAAACTGCAATTGACCTTTACCTTAACATTGGGGTTTTTTAAGGCAAATCCTCTGTACCATCCTGTAAAGAAAGAACATTTTGCTTTTTAAAGTATGCAAATCATTTCCGTATGTAAAATAGATTTCATCTTTCCCTTTTGGACAGATATGACAATTACACAGTGCTGTCAGACTGCACTCATTTAAAAGACTTTCCATTCAATGAAAGGTATTATGTTTAAATCAGCTCATATTCAGATGACTTAATTCACACATTTTGGGGAATTACTCTTTAACCCTGTACCCCCAAATGTTTCTATCAATGTAAACCAGGTATATTTTGCACTAGACACCACACCAGATAAAAGCAAAATGATTTCATATTCACTGGAAATATTTACAAATCATTTTTGGACATTATGCTTTAAATCTATCAACCACATTACTATACAAAATTCATAATATACCTGATTCAAAACAAGAGATCCTATCCCTTCCGTAAGAAAATTTCTTACAAGATTAACAGTATATAATCCTCATATGAAACCAAAAAATACCTACATAATCCTAAATGATAAAAAAACGTGTTGACAGATAAGCCTTACATAATGTATTAAGAAGGCAGATTATCAAAAAAAAGCAACTTTATTACTCTTACACCAGTAACGGACATTTGCTAAAATCATATCAGTGTTCTCTACCTCAGAACAGAGGCAGAAGAGAATGTTTATGCTGCGTTAAGATGTAAACTTCTGACTCTGAATTAATTTGAAATAGTCTTGATGGCAGCCAGGCATCCCTTGGAAATACCAAGAGAGCAGAAGAATTAAAATGAGAACTGTTATCATCTGTGAATGCTTATTAAACTGAGGGATTAAATAAAAAGAATGAACGGCAAATTAATTATTAAAGGGATTAGAGCGCATTGGAATTTTGAAAAAAATCAAGAGGCCAGAAAGTGTCATATTATTGACTTCAAAAACGTGTTAATTTAAGAAAATAAATTAACAGTAAAGGGGTTCAAATCAACAGTATACAATAGTTCATTATCACTGGAATTCCAACCTGTGAACTTACCATCACATTTCTCTAATATCTGAACGGTGTCTCCAATCTCCAGTGATAGGCCATGTGGGACTGTCCCTCGAAAACCAGCTATTACTGAAAAAGATAGTAAGTTTCAATTATTTACACCATTAAAATATAAATTAATATTCCTCTTCTTAGCAAAAATAGTATATTAACAGGGGAAGTTAAGTGTTAGAATGAATAAGTTCACTGGAATTTAACAAGCTGTAGAAAGAATCAGAGGTTAAGCCACTTACAAGCAAAAAATTTAAAATACAGGACTTGGAAAAAACCCGAATCATTTACAGATTTACTATACATGAATGGAAAGCTTTCACTTGAAAACACTGTTAGCTAGACTGTACCTACCCTGGCAGGACAGAAACTGTTCTATTCCAAATGCTCACACTAACACATACCAGACCTGAGAAGTCTGCAAGCTGAAAGTGCCAATATTTTTATTGCCATCTATACCATCCACACACCACAAAAGGAAAACGCTATTTCACATTTGCTTAATGGATGCTATAGACCCAACACTCCACATAATCCCAAATGTGAGGAAGTGGTTAGGGGGAGGAGACCAGTACAGCGTGCTGTTCACTAAAATTCATTAAGTGCATGCCGTCTCCCCTGCAGCCTCCCCGAAACCAGTGAAGCCCGGGTCATGAGACCAGGCTGGGACAAGAGCTACAGAAATGGGGTTCCCTCGCTGGAGATAAACCATGCCTCAGAAACAAAACACCCACTAAAGCAGTGATGTTCCCAAATACTTACAATGGTCAAACTTATATTGTCAAGTCTTATATTGTTAGTGCTAAAAGAATAGCCAGCTATTTTTTTTCACTCGGAACCAAAATATAATACTCAAAGCCACTCAGGCTGAGAGGGTTGCAGGTGTTCAGCCTGGAGAAGAGAAGGCTCCAGGGAGACCTTATTGTGGCCTTTCAGTACTTTCAGGAGGCCTACAGGAAAGATGGGGACAAACTTTAGCAGGGCCTGCTGCAATAGGTGAAGGGGTAACGGCTTTAAACTAAAAAAGGAAAGATTTAGACTAGATAGAAGGAAGACATTTTTTATGTAAGGGTGGTGAAACACTGGAAAAGATTGCGCAGAGAGAGGTGGTAGATGCCCCATCCCTGGAAACGCCCCTCTCAGCAACCTGATCTAGTTGAAGATGTCCATTCTCATTGTGGGCGGGGGGGGATTGGACTCGACGACCTTTAAAGGTCCCTTCCAACTCAAACTATTCTATGATTCTATGAAAATGTTCATTCCTACAAATGGTAAAAGATCCATTAATATTCTAGGTAACAATTCAGCTATTCAACCCTGTGCTTACTGTATTTGAAATTCTGAATGAAAATATTGCCTAATTCAGGCCGTGAGACCAAGCAGTAGTAATTTTGGTTCTCTGAATTGTAATATTCTTTTGGAGCTTAATGTTGAAGTTGAAGAGGAAAACAACCTTCTACCAATATCAACAGAACACGATGCACAAAATTACGCAGTGGCCTAACAGGACTCTTCCTGCTATCAAATATCTATCCTCCTAGATAGGAAAAGCCACAAAGTAAAGAAAACGACCAACTCAGAGGCATGAGAACAAATCTTCACATGTAAAAGCCAAAAGGAAACCCCACGAGTGCAGATATGCATATAAAGTAACTACTCTTTCACCAAAGGATCTGCAAGGCTTTGCATCACAAAAATCAATTTAGTGGCTCTTGCCTCCTGTTGGGGAGGTCTCCCCGCCACAGGCAGAGACTATGCTCAAGCACAATACAACCTGTCATCCACTGCCTGTGCTTGTCACATTGTTCATCAAAGGCAGCAGGAGAGATTAGCTGTCAGCAACCATGAAAACTGAAAATTCATTCGTGAATCTTTGCCAGAAAGTTCCAGATTTTTAGAGCAAACCAATAGGATATGGTTTATGCTACAGGATGGAACATACAAAAATGTACAAAAAGTACATTTTTGCCAAATCTTTCTTCAGAATCTGAAGGCTTCAAAACTCACTGAATTCAATCATCACTTCAATCATCTCAGTCATCACTGTGCATAACCCACGGTCTTTATCCCTTTGAAAAAAGTGTGCAAGATCATGTGCCTGGTCAGTCCCTAAGAGCTTGATATAACATATCACCGGTATTTGTAGCATTGAGGGGTTTTTTTTCCCACACCCCCCCCAAGGTATATGTATTGAATTAACATCTACTCAGTTTCATCCTACTACTACTCTCCAAGGTATTTATATAGAAATAAAATACCCTGCACTAAGCACACTGAAATAAAAAGAGCTACTTCGGTTTCCCAACAGTGGTCAAGTACACCATTTTTAAAGAGGGTTAGTTGTAAGACAGCACTTTTACATTGAAAAAGTTTGTCTAACAGTTGAAAAATTAGGATTTTTCAATTAATCCTTATGCAAAGATCGAAAAATGAAAATAGCTTATTGATTATGAAGAGATTACAATAAAAACACACCCCACCCCAAATATCAATACAATGTGTATTTAAATTCCTCTGTAACATCGGAATGACAGATACCATTTTGGTCACCCTTCTAGCTTGCAAGAAACAAAAGTAGATTTTGAAGCCTGCCAAAATAGCACATACATACAGCCACTGAAAAAAAAAATTTCAAGAATTAACAGAACTAGCATGCAAAACCAAACCAAACCCTTGTATGTTATTACACTTGTGAGATGTCTTATTTTTAAACTCCATATGATAAAGCGAATGACAGTAATTTTCTCCTTAAGAGCCAATATATCCTGTCACATTGTTATGATCCGACTTTGCTGTGACATTCAGTTTTTATTACTTAGTTACTAGATCTGTTAAAGATCTTTTTTAAGAGAAGTTTCAAAAAAAAACTTTTAGGACAAAAAAAGATAGACATCTGATACAGTGCAGAAAATAGCTAGAATTCATTTTCGAGCACGTACAGAAAAAAAAAAAAAATTATACCTTGAAATATCTTCTAGAAGGATGGCCTGCAGAGTACCAGAAAAAGAAAGAAAAAAATGAAGGCATCACCTGTACCACTGAGCCAGCACATTCACCTGATGGACTTGCAAAACTCTGGCTGGGTTCTCGCAAAGGTCTTGCAGTGAGGTCAGGCTCAAAACAGACAGCCTGTGGTCTTTAGCAATGCCACTCAAAACAAAAGAAAGTGCACTGCAGAGCAGCAGAGAATATAACCTAAAGCACAGGAATCCACAGATGAATTCATCACACAAATGTTTACTCAGCTAATTTCCTACCAATCAAGTCATGTTATAGATTTGGGACTGAGAAAATAGGTGGCTCTTCATCTTTTTAGTTTATGTGTGGGGCATAAACATGAGTAGACTACACGGAGGGTAATAACAAAGTTGTGGGACGAGGTAGTTACAGTTCCACCAGAGAAGATCCCAAGGTTCAGCGAGCTAGGACACAGGGTTCCTAACCAAGCTGTGACACAAACCGCATCATTCTGCAGCACTTTGCAGATGCCCCTTAATTCTTTCTCCTTGTAGTAGTAAGTATACAATTAATCACTCTGTGGTGACTGTGGCTTAAGGTGTTCTCAGCCTAACTCAAGGGCAGTACACATCTATCATACCCACAGAACTGGAATTTTTATATATACAGCAATCACCAAGGCATGTGCAGCAAGTATGCACCATTTTCATTCGTATAATGACAGTAGCTGGACTGGTTATCACCTGTCACTTCCATTGCAACTGGATAGCAGAGACTTTAGAAAAGACGGAGGGACATGAGAAGAAAAATCCACTCTGAATATAGCTCACCTACCAGTACCTGCAGTCTTTGCAAATGTGATATCCCCAGGAAGCTAGGTATCAAAAGCACTTACATCTAGGTATGTTTTTTCATCACTGTAGTACCTGAAGGTCATATAAATGTCCTGTTTGTGTTTCAAGCACAGGCATAGCGATAGATGCCCTCTTCAATCACCTCAGCCATGGGAGAAATGTGGAACTCCACAATAAAAGTTTGTAGGATTATATATTCTCAGAAGTGGTTTAGAAACTGAGTTCAAATACAGCAGCTGGCTGGCATTATTAAATATTTTCTTGCTGCCAAAGGGTACTCAGAGGATACGAAAGCAAGACAACCACAGAGGACACAAAACCCGAATCCATACAGAAAGTGAAATCATATGTCAAGAACTACAGTGACATGCAATATTAGAGCAGCTTTGGGTTTAATGTCAACCTTAAAATCTCTAGGGTATTGCAGGTGCAATGCATCCCAAGCTATGAAAAAAAACATTTCCATGAGACCTATGGAGAGATAATCGCAAAGAGAAAACTGGTTATCTCATACAGGTTCAAGTTACCTGTCTGTGATTAACTGCTAAAATTAACCAAAAGTGCTAACATTTTCATAATGTTGTTCTTCTATATTTCAATAGAACAGAGTCAGTTCAATCAAGAATATGACATAAGACCTTACAAGACATCCTTTCTATGTGTTTCACAAAGTTTTTCACGACAAGACCTGTGTGAATAATTGGAAAGAGGTTCCCAATCCTGAACTCCATATCAGATCACCATTGCAATTAGGAAAAAGAAGAGAAGGCATAATCTGATGGAGCTCTTACCTTCAGCTTCTCAAAAGAATTTTCATCTTTCTACTCTCATCTAAATCACTGCCTGTCTGTGGTCACTGTCAGGCAGTTTTGCGTACTCAAGTGCCTGGCCTAAAAAAAGATCAGTTCAAGAACAAGGTCTTAATTAAAGCCTAAAATAAGTTTTTTGGTTCAGGAACTCACCTTCTGCTCATCTACAACATCGATAGCATTGCTGTTCTAAAAAATAAAACAAAACTCTTTTTCTACTTGCAATTAATGCATTCGAATCTTACCTGTGAGTTAGTGTTATAAAGATGTATTTGAGCCTCACCAAGAGCATGCTGGGTTTCATGGCTGGCTTGACTTTTTGTTTATGAGATGAAAACGTCTCCCCACAAAGGGTGTGATGCGACATAGTGCTCAACATGTTCCCCCCATCACAAGTTAAAATTAAGCTCAACATTACAAAGGGAGACGTGCACTGCACCACAGCTCCTGGCTGAGCAGTGGGACATACACCCACACACATAAAGGAACCAACAGCAGTAGGGGCAACATCTACAGCAACTACTAATACCTCAAAAATGAGCATTTGTACTACAACAGCAGACTCAGGTTTCACATAATAAAAAACAGTCCTTCAACTGAAGAAAGAGGGGAGAGATAGGATGGGGGTTAGAAAAATTTAAATTATTTTAATAATTACTTTGGTAATTACTTGGCCGTATTGTGCATGCTAAATGCTGGAGTAAAAAATAGACTGCAGTTCAGTGCTCTAAGTCATGATGCCCCAACTCTCAGAGACAGCATATGAACCACACAGAAATGTAGTAAAACCACAGTGGAAAATGATAGATTTGGAGGATGGGAACACACTGTGTCAGAGGGACCGATTTTGACAGGGAGCAAGATGCTCTGATAGAAAAGGAATTGATTAGCTGGTAACAGGGATGGGTGGCCCACTTCAAAGTTTTGCTCGGGGTTAAATTCTTAAATTTTTTATGCCTGAAATAACTGGAGATCTGCACATAAGAACTAATGAGGCAGACATTGTTGTTCCTTTCCTCCTAATAGATGACCAGAAGCTATTATGGATTCCAGATATTATCTGCTATAATTGAAATCAGGGCCTCTTGGTGGCAAAAGCAATTTTTAAAGTTTTTATTCTGGACTTGAAGTGCCATTCTTTCACCAGATTTGAGAGTTTCAGGTACAACCATCTCAAGGGGTTTCTTTTCTGTTCAACAGTTGAAAAAAAATAATCAGAAAAGAGGTAATAAATGAAATTGAGGAGCTTCTAGTGTTAAGAAGACAGCTTTGAGTTTAGTTAAAATAATAATTTACTGTTGCGTATTTTCTTTATGATGGAAAATTGAGCTTGGTTTTATGCAGTTTTTTAGCTGATAAGTAATCATGTATGTATATTACCTTTGAGGAAGACTGATTCAGTGGTCTTTATTTCAGAAATGTGAAAAACTATTCTTTGATATGTACTAATGGATAGTAAACACAACAGACAACTGGCACGGTAAGCAGCTGCAGAAAATGCAACATTAAAGAGAGCACATCAGGACAGCCACTGCAAAAAAAAATATTCATAATCAGACCAAGAACTCTACCCAGGATACTGATTACAAACTCATTTCTGAAGCTACTGACTGTAAGCAATGCAAGCATCCAGTGGCACAGCTCTCAGTGTTTTGTGGCACTCCTGAGTCAGATCTCCTGAGTCAGACATGGTATCTCTGTGTTAAACAACCATTAAGGGGTTTTTCTTCTATGGATTTGCCTAACCAGGATTTACATGCATCATAATGTCAGTGTCCACAAACTCACAGTGAGCTTTCCAGTTTAACTATGCTTCATGGAAAAAAAAGTCTTCCTTTTGTTTTACAGTGCCACTTAAAATTTCATTTTATGCCCCCTTGTTCTTCTGGGAAAGTTTGAATAGCCAGTCTCCCTGCACCTTAGCTGTACCTTTCCAGGATGAAACTTTTTCTCCTCAAAAGAAGCTGAAGAACGTTTTTAGATTTCTAAATAGGCAGAATTTTTAGAAGCATAAACACACACAGGCATACAACTTTGCTAATGCAGAATGGCCAAAGCTACTGTACAAGGCCATCACGTGCACTGAGCTCTGCCTACATATGAATTGATCTGGATGGAGCGGCATGATAGCATAGCTACACGCTCATGCTTCTAATACACAAGTTAATTCAGGCATCTGTTTAGTAATGCATTGTGCTGCCTACAGATACCCTAGGCGGCTTGCTGCAAACCAAAAACAAGCTAATAAAGACAGTGACAGAAAAGTAGGGGAGGGGGGGATCAATCTAATCTCCTTTCAATAAACACAATATATATGAATGTTAGTTTCAATAACAGAAGCGATCCTTAAATCTCTTGCAGATTACTGAGGATAAACGTTCTCAAATTTATATTGAAATGAAAGAATGTGAGTTCTCTTGCCTGTATATGTATGTATTACGTACACCACAATTAAAAGGATCAAACACATAGCTCAGATGATGACAGTCCAGGACTCCTGAGCCACATGTGGCTTTTGAACCTCTCAAGTGCTGCTCATGTGCAGCAGTCAATAGTTCTTAAGAGATGAGTGCTCATGTCGAATTTACCTAATAAGAACATTTATCAAACAGCTATCAATGAAAATACCTCAAGTCACTTTGAAAATTATCAAAAAAGTTTGTACCAATGTCCAAGCTTTGAAAATACTATCTAAAGTAGAATACTTATATACAACTGTTCTTCAGTTGTCAGAAAAACAAAGCAAAACCATCTGGAATTCCTACTGCTAACAGAACCGGCTACAGATAAGGCAAATGCCAAGTCTGAACTACACAAAGGACAGAGCTGCAGCAGAATGTATTCCCTCCTGTGCTGGTCTCAACACTTGAATTCAGCAAGGTAATCACTTTCAAATCCCTGATTACAATGTTGCCAAAAACCATAGGTCTATTCTAACATAGATAATCAGTTTAGTGTGACTGTCTGAACATTTGTCAAGCTCCCCTCATCCTGCATCTCAGCTACAAGCAGGAACCTTAGCATCCCTTTGATAATAGGCTGATCGGTTCCCCCAACGCCTGTGAACATTTTTGCCAACTCTTTCCTTTGGATACCCTAGTTATTAAGCACTATATCTTAGGAAAGAGCACTAGATTAACAAGTGATGGCTTCCTGGGGCACCTATTCACTGTTGAGAATAGCCGCCAATCTGGAACGCCAAAACTGGAATAATTCAGCACGTACCACCAGGGTCCCTGTCCTTGCAGGTATGAGATTTCACTAACTGTATTGCTTCTTCTATCAGATAGCTAGCTAAGCCCTTTCTATTTCTTGAACTCCTGCTGCACATTGTTATGTCTACATCTTGTCCCTGCTAAGAGCAATTTCTTGATTTGTGTTAGTTCTCGAACCAGGGATTTAAAAATGAAAAGAAAATAAAACGAACAAGTCATTACAAGTCTAGAAAATCTAGTACCCCTTAGAGTCTATGAACAGATGATACAGCTCCTCCCTATGAATTTGCTCGGGAGTCTCCTTCTCTACAGAGAAGGAATGTCAATGTAAAACCTGTCAGAGACATCATGGTAGAAGGTGAGGTGGACTCAGTACAAACAGGTATAGATTTCACGCATTCAATCAAAATATAATAAAGGAATTCATCTATGTGCAGTTCAACCAGCTGGTCTCACTTACAATTCTCTAATGTAGAGCTAAAGATGTGGTATCAACGCACTAAGACTGCCATCTTGAATGGTAAATGTGGATTAAGTGTCATTTTCCTTCATTACTTGGAAACAGCAACAGCTTAAAAATCCAGCTAGTAGAAAGGCGTAAGTGGAAAAAGTAGATTATGTTAAGATGACATTATCTATGAGAACAACCTTCTTTAGCTAAAAATAACTATGTTACTCACTGACTTTTATTAAGGCTAAGTCTTTCCAAAGTTCTAAGCATTTTCAAACTTTGTTAAGTAATTGCCTTAATTTTTAATAGCATAACAAAGGAAAAGGGTTATTGCTGTTTAACTCTAACTTGAAAAAATCTTCACATTTCTTTCATAGCATTTGGAGAACTTAAGTTTCTGATTAAAATCAAATAAACCATCAGGGTTTTTTGTAATTTCCTGTAAGTGTCAGGTATGGTAAAGAAGGAAGGTTAATGTATTCAGTGCACGAGTGCATCATCTGAGGTCCATTGAAGCCAAATTTCCTGGTTTGAGGTACAACAGGGTATCTGTCACTCGCCCAGTGGCCGGTTCAGCCTAAACTACGACACCAACAAAGCCCTGTGATCGCAGATGCCAGATACCATGACAATGCTTCAGTGCATTTTGGACCTCATTAAAGCATGAGGTGGTGCTCACCAAAACCTCCAAAAAGTTAAATTTAAGAGACAAAAAGTTCTACATGATTTCAAATCCAGATGCATGGTGATACTTTTGTATATGCCAGAAGGTTTAGTGTCATATCCCAGCAGAAACTAAATGGGAAAACTAGATGCCTCACAGTTATAGACACAGGAGATATCTCCCAGAAAACACTTAACTGGTTTCAGAATAACAAGAAGGTGATTATTTTAAAGCAAGCCCTGAATAGATGACTATGTCCTTACAATTTAATGCTGACTTAATGCAAGAAGACTGGCTGTGGTCCAAAGTGTAATGACCAAACATTTCCCCATTCTTCTCTTTCCTCCCCAAAAGCATTATTATACCACATGCTGCTCCGAACTTGGGGGGTATAATTTCACAGCCTTTAAAAAACGGCAAGTAGCATTGCACAAACCTAAGCTCAGAAGAGCTGTAGTCTTGTGAACTGTAAAGAAAACAAGACCACTGTGCAAGCTGCAGCATTACTCTTCACCAACTACATGAGCCACCCAAGGGGGACACAGTTAGACAGCAGTACAGTAGCTGAGAAACTCTATGTGTTTGGTATGAGACTGGTTTCCCCTTAGTATTTCACTGTTTACTTCCATTCAAGTACTAAATAGCATTCAAGGAAGCTAAGAAAAGCAGAGCACAAATCTTCACTAATACAAAAGAGACAGAACACCCATCTCCTACAGTAAAATTTTTCTAACAGACAGGTCCATCAAATGACCTGTTTCATCTATATATGAAACACTGTCCAGTTTTCTTCTATTTCCTTTGGAAGATCAAGGTTTAACTCTGTTCTTGACCTGCGATTTGTGGAAGATAATAAAAAAACATCACTGAAAAACCAGTGGAACTCAAAACCATATACCCAAAAAAAAAAAAAAAAAAAAATCAACACATCCTGCAATTTTCAATGTCATTACTTTTCAGCTTGTCTGGCATCATTAGATTTCAGATGAGTTTTAGTCTGGTAATCTGTATTTCTCTGACATTCAACTGTTTCATTA